CAGGCTCCAGTGTGGAGGGATATCAGACTTGTGAAGTGTAGCAGGGAGTCTGAATGACAATGGGTCTGGGAGCCCTGGAGGAGATCGTTATGGGCAGTAGGACCAGGCAGCGGCTGCCGTGTGCTGGAGTCAACAGCCCCAATCACCTACCTGGAAACCTGGAGCCCAGACAGCCGGGGGGCAGTGGAGCCGCTGGCCTGACCTCGGCTGCAGGGACGGAGGACCCCCCAGCCCAGACGGATCAACCAGGACTGTGATGTCTGCTTTAAGTCCCGCCCTGTTGGTGACCTGCATGTGCCCCTCCCTTCCATTATATTTGCCCAAAACCAGCCTTCTTAAATTCCCCTCCATTTACTCCCATCTACTCCCAGCTCCTCCTCTTTAGGACCCTTTTGACCACACCTAGCTATCCCCACCTAAAACTGCTGTGCTCCACTTTAATCAACTCTGAATGTGGGTGGAGGCGGGTGGGGGCTTTGGGGGTTGGAGGAAAAACCACACATTACATCATGTATTTACTTATTCAGGGTTGCTAGCGAGTGACATGTAGAGTGGAGCTGGGGGTGAAAGGTGAAGGATTTGGGAGTAAATGAGTCATGACCAAAACCAAAGGGTTGGATTCTGAGGACAAGGTTGCTTAAACACCAAAAGGAAAGGTACACAACACCTCCACAAAGACACCAACCACATATCTGCGGTTGGAGCGTAAAACTCCTAAACCTTTCACACGAACACCTGGGGTTCGTGTGATTGCTACAGACAAATTTCCAACCTAATCCTCTGAGGCTTCCCAGATGTACGCGTCTTGAACATAACACCATAATGTTTCCCAGAATACCGAGTAAGCACTTTGAGATTATTTGCTATTAATGAAAACAATTAGGGGCTCAGGCTTTTGGTAGCCTGCCAACTACTGTTTCAACATTTTTTCCTTCCTTGCAAGTGGAATTTGAACTCTCTAAATTGCTTCCCTTTAGTAACAATGCCATAAACACCCTCCAATCCCCTCTCAAACATCTGCCCATGGTCAACATCACCTCAGTAACTGCTAGTGACATGTGCCGCGGATCGGCCTTGTAGTGCGTCCAACCGCCCAACCTTAGCGAGGTGGTGCAGCTCAGAGAGACCAAACAGACCCGTTGAAGTCAATCAGCAGACTGTTCCATTTAGCGTGAGTGTGGGATTTCTTTATTTCAATCCAGGGATCCTCCATCCTGGGAAAATAGGTGGCTGAGAGAAGGTGAAACAGAGGTAAAGGAAAGCAAAAGAAAACAGAGTAAGGGTGGATGGACTTCCACTCATTCATCTCCTGTGTCCCCGCAACCCTTGCCTGTCTGATGGAGCGGCAATGGTCCGCGCGGAGACATCAAGCACATTCCAAGAGTCGGCCCAATTACGGGCAGATGAGGGGCAGTTCTCTTTGTTTAAGAACAAAGCCAGAAGTGACACAACTGGTCTTTAAAGGGAGCTCTCACAGCCGTGGCTGAGGAGAGGGGGGCCCGGTGGGTGGGGGAGGTGACCAGCTGGTTATAAATATCTATTTGGTCAGTTACTGGAAGGAAAATTTGCAGTTTGTTTGTCATCCACTCATCCAGGTGGTGGGCCTGGTGGTTGCAAAACATCAGAGCAGAGCGAAGGAGAGAGGGAGAGGCCAACCTGTTTCAGTTTGACTGCCAGAGACGAGGAATTTGACTAATTCTTATATGAAAGCCACATGTCATCCTCTAGTGTAAACCTGCCGTTAGAGAAAGCTCTTGGCAAGATCCCGTTGCATATTTAACCCAGTAATTATTTTGGCCATACAGATTAGATATTACTGCAATGTGAATTAGTCTTGCACTCATAATTACGCAATGGTGGAGCAGTTTTTAATGACTATCATCTGGAAAATAAAGATATTATGATATTCGTGTTGAGTTCACAGGAATTGCGGAACATTCTTCATTGAGCAACTTATAACTAACAGCTTCTTTGCATTTGACATCATACCAGGGTGCACAGTCCAGTTGGAGGGCAGACGGCTGGGGGCAAAGATTACCAACCCTGCACAAGTGCATATGATTCATGCTGTTTACAGCTGCTCCAATTGATCAAATTGGAAAAAAACAAGGGTAAATTTAGGTCTCAAAATTTGTAGGACGTTAAGGTAAAAAGTATAAAAAGTGTAAAGTGTAAAAAAAAACAAAAAAAAAAACCCTTCACTGAGAAACAGCGGCAGATGTGAATTCACAAGCCTCCTTAGTCCAGAGGTGCAGAGTCCATTAATGTCAAACAATAATGTTAAAGTGTTGTGCTAAATATGCCTCGAAAGATGCAATAGCATTCATTCATTCATTCATCTTCTAACCACTTCATCCTCTTGAGGGTCGCGGGGGGGCTGGAGCCTATCCCAGCTGACATCAGGCGAGAGGCAGGGTACACCCTGGACAGGTCACCAGACTATCGCAGGGCTGACATACACACATTCACACTCACATTCACACCTACAGACAATTTAGAGTTATCAATTAACCTAATCCCCAATCTTTGGACTGTGGGAGGAAGACGAAGTGCCCAGAGAGGGAGAACATGCAAACTCCGCACAGAAGGGCTCCCTGGGATCGAACCGGCAACCCTCTTGCTGTGAGGCGACAGTGCTAACCACCACACCACCGGGCCGCCGATGCGAAATATCAGTGTCCTGTGATCCTGATTTTTAATTGATTTTTAATTTTTTGCTTGAAAATAGTAGCTAAAGTTGGCTAACACAATGTTAGCTAGTAACATTAACCTGACGGTGGTGCATCCATGTAGTTGAGAGTTGAAATACGTTAAAGCCCAGATACACCAAACCAATATCAGGGAACTAGCAGTGACGAAAGCCCCCTGCGGCATCGCCTGACATCACCATGTCTCATCCAAAAAAGTTGCACATGAGCACACTGCAAAGACTACAGCCAGGGGTCAACCAGCATGTTCGTTTAGCGCCTGTGTGAGGGGAAATAACTCTCGACACCAGTAGACGTCAGTCTTTAATTGTAATTCAAAAAGGGAAACGTGAAGACCATCTTGACGCTAGTTAGCCAGTTAGCACATCAACAACGTACTCCAATGTTGAAAGAATTTACCATGCGCCAGTGAACAGTAACACAAACCATCATGAAACGTTTCTGCTAAAGAGCTCAATAGGTAAAGAAAAATAATGTTACCTTATGTATCAAGTATGTTTTGAGCTCACTCCCTCTTGACTTTAGCTTTTTGTTTACTTTCCTCACTTCAGTTTCTCTTCTTGTGCACTGCGTTGAATCAGCAGTCTGAGTGATTTCATTCACCTACAGACTCCACAGTCGCCAATGCCGATTCAGTATGATGATGAATCAGTGGGAGAAAGCCAACTAGCGCTGACGAGGGCCAGCAGTGCGGGACACACTGCACCGACGAGGGCAGCAGATGCTCACCAATGGCCCAACTTTGACCGACCCTGCTGCCTGCAGGTTCATCCAACCCTTTTATGTAGTCACATTCATCTTTATCCAATTCACGCAGTTTATGGATTTGTCACTTCTTGACCTCCATCTGAGTTTTGGCCTCAGGCTGTTCTAATACCGAAACTAGGAATTGTAATTAAGATTAAGATTGTTTGGGCTATGGGTTGCAATAACTCCTGGGATGACTCAGTGTCCTGCTTTAATCTACCTTTTGGGTATCAAACACTCAGTCCCAATGGGCTAGACAAGTACCTGTAAAAAGTTTCTCTGTTTATAGTCAGTTACAATGGTTTCCAAAGGTGACAACATGGGCAAAAACATCCACAGAAGCATCTCAAACTGCTTGTGCAGAATAAGCTACTTCTCAGCTGTCCATCCATAATAACAGTATGTTTCAAACTATCATTATTTCAGTCAAAATAGAGCTACATTCGCTGCTTCCACATTGTTCTATTGCTCTAAAAAAAAATCCAAAGCTCTAAAGCCCGGAAACTGTGTCTTGTTGTGAAAGACAACATTTTTTACAACCACCTTTTAAAGCCTACGGGGGGTGTGAATTTGATACTAAAAAGACTGATCTGGGGTGGAGAAACACTTTAATAACGCACATTGTGCAAGTGGTTGTTGATGGCCAGAAGCACGGAGTATTGGACTGCAGAGGGGCGGGACGAGTTTAAAGTTTAATTCCCACTCTGCAGTAAATTAGAACACAGCAGGGTAATGTCTGTTTATCCCAAATACAGCTGCCTGGGCCTCTCTCCTATCCCTCTCCTTCTCTCCCCACAGACCACACCGTGGCCCTGGGATCACCTGGACCAGCAGTACACACACAAACGGCGCTACGCAAAACACACATTATGCAAACACATGCACTTGCATAAACAAACAAACCGGCACATGCATACATGCATGAATGTGGACACAAACTGTACTCATGCACGCACACACACAGATGAAAACACGCTACAAATAGATTTTGGAGTTCAGTGACACCGGTGGCTTGTGGGCTAAACTGAGACACAATTACAACGTGGCTACTTGCTTCATTTAGATTTTTATTATAGGGAATGATTGTATCTATCTAGGTTGCGTCTCAAAATAGTCTCAAATAGGGATTTTGCTGTGAGACTGTGTCAGAAAAGGTGCTTATTTTGTGCTTTTTAAAGTGTTGAGGCTGCAGCAGAGTTTGGAGTCATGTTGTTGCTCTGTCCACCCCTGTGACTTGAAAAGTTGCAGTAGTTTGTGATAGTGTGTTTGGACAGTACGCTCACTCTAATCCCTCCAAAGGTAGCAGACCAGATAGGATGTTCTATTATTACGAGTAGGTATTTGCTGCCCTCTAGTGGACGATCAAGACGTTGCATGTTGCAAGCACTTAAAACAAGGCTGATACCCATTACTGGGTGTTTGTCTCCACCTAGTGGACAATCAGTAACAATGCATTTTAAAAGCTGAGGGCATGTCATCTTGTTCGCGCAACTTCTACGTGCGCGTTCACGCTCCAGTCCTGTGATCTATGCGTCAGCTGTCAAGCCATACACACGCATACTACAGTCCTGTCTCCATGCAAGATTTGTTTGGACAGCGAATGAATCTGAAATTCCACAGAGACCGGAACACACACACGAAGTATGGTGACTGCCGTGCTACGCCTCTCAAGCAGGACTAAAGCGATTCGGTGACAGGGAAGTGGTTTGACAAAGGTTTAAGTTGGCGTTAGTTAAAAGGGAAGAGAAAACGGATGAGCAGGTTTTCCGGTTGCTACGTTGCAGACTTGCTAACAAGCTAGCATCGGAGTTCTACAACCGGCTTCGTTAGCTTAGCTTAGCTTAGCTTAGCTAGCTAGCCAGCTAACGAGCTGGTGTAGCGACTGCTGCGGGGCGTTCAAGGCGGTGGGAGCTTTTATTTAGGGCTTTAATTTTGTTTGAATTTTTATTGTAACATTGGCCATTGTTGAATTTTGTAGTAGCTGTTGTAATAGTGAGAGCTTTGTCGATGTGAGGGCAGACGAGTTGGTGAGGTTGGCTCGCTCAGGTAGTTATGAGCAGTTTCAACATTAGGACCCAAACCTCCATGGTAAGGTCTTCTTTGGGCAGCGACAGTAAAGGCGTCGACGCTATTAACAACAACAAGGAGTGGGATTTGGGCAGCGATGTGTTATCGTACTGTAACGAGATGAGTCCCATGGATGACACGATGCAGGCGGGTATGTCCTCCGTCCAGCCGGGACTGGACGGACACCTGCCGTTCCTACACCCCAGACACCACAGCACCCAGGACGGGCTGCTGTTCGACCTGAGCACCCCGGCTACCTTCCTCGACGGCGGCTCTCTGGAGTACAGCGACAACGACGGGAACGGCGCGGGTCCACTGTTCGAGAGGCGGAAGAGGTCGCGGTCCAACAGCTCCAGACACCGCTTCAACGAGGTGGTCACGGAGCTCGGTCCCGAGGAGGTGCGGTGGTTTTACAAGGAGGACAAGAAAACTTGGAAGCCCTTTGTCGGGCATGACTCGCTTAAAATTGAGCTGATGTACCGGAAATACTGTGAGCTGAACCCTGGTGCAGCAGGGTCCCAGGTCAGTGGTGGGCAGGAGGAGGAGTGCGGTAATAACGGTGTGGAGAGCAGGGGGCTGAACGGTGCAGTGCCCGTGGAGACGAGGACCAGCTGTGTGCACGGCGGCCGGGGGTCCCTGGACACATCCACGGTGTCATCCGAGGAGAGGGACCCTGACAGCATTGAAATCAACGTGGAGCCTGTGTGTGTCCGGGGAGGGCTCTATGAGGTGGATGTTAGGGAGAAGGAGTGCAATCCTGTTTACTGGAAGCGTGAGTATCATCAAAACAAAGTCTATAAAATCACATTTGTGCTTTGCATCAGTCACACATTATGCTGAATCTCCAAAGCATCCTGTTGTGCACATACACCTCATGTATACTTCATGTCCTGCAGCATAATGTCTGACAGCATGCAGATCAATGAGCCACTCACAAGTCTGGCGCTCACTCAGACCCTCACTGCAACCAACATCCATCCCTGCTCCCTTTAAAAGACACAAACTAGCATTTGATTATCCATCCAGTTAAGCTACTTGCTGACTCCTGCATTGTTTTGCAGCTCTCTCGCTGGCTCCAACCCAGGAAGTCAGTCAATTGGCCTCAGCTGATCTGTGCTAACTAATTCATGGATATTTCCAGGAAAAGGCAGGGAACAAATGAAGGTGGTCACTACAGAGCCAGTGCAAACCTGGCCTCGATGAAAGGGTTCCTGGGTAGCTGGTTCTATTGAAGGTTAACGCCAAGTGACATTTGGAGAAGCAGTCATTTCCCTCAGTGTTCACGCTATGGATGTAAGTCCTTTTGTAGTCAGCTCAGATCCTCGCTGTGCCTTCTCAGCGTGACCTATAGCGCTGCAAACACAGTGTCATGTTGACATGTAGGACCACAATGTCCAACAATTGAGATGGAAACTAATGCATATCAGCCAGGAAGACAGTAAAGAGTCATGTAGTGGGACAAGTGGAGAGAAGGGGATGCTGAAGGAAAACATCCATAAAAATACAAAGGATTAGCGCTTTTGAAGGTTTAATGATAACTTTATATTCTATTATAACAGGATGAAAAGGTCACTTATCACTTCATGGGAACTTAAAACAGTATGTCACATGAGGCACACAGACTTATCTCCTCTGACCAGACATGAACCACCTTCACAAATGAGTCAGTAGTGAGCTCTGTGAGCCTCTATCAGTGTGTCTGTCTTTGCCTTTTCATTGTCGTGGGCTTCTCTGTAAACAAGAGAATGCTCATGTGCTTTTATATTTGCCTAGATGAGCTGTCTCACTCTGCAGAAAGGGCCCTGTCTTTTAGCTAAATTCAGAACTGCCTTTACAATCTTATTCACCACCAGAGAGTCAGTTAATAATGTCACTCAAGACTGTAATCAAAACCGGCCTCGCTCTGTAATCCACTGAGACTTGGCCCTCCTGGATTTGCAAGAGTTGAGTTAAATGGAAATCAGTTTACATCATCCAGAGCAGATTCTGGGAGGCAGAGTGATGCATTCTGTTACTAGAAAGTGACTGTTGTACAGTATTTTATAAACCCAGCATTGTTGATATTCGTGTTTACTAGCTTGCAGTATTAATCTTCTCTGCCATCGCTGGCATGTCGCTGCATGTCTTGGCGTGTTACCACCACCTTTAGTTATTAATGGAATAGTGTAAAACCATTGGCAGGAGTCTGCAACATGTCACCTGCATCCACACACATAGAAAACAGCACCATATAGGGCAATACTAAAATTATTGAGGCATCAAAATATCCATCTTAAGTCACTTAAGTCATTCTTTGTCTCTGTCTCTGTCTTACAGAACAAGATCATATTCCAGTCATGAGAGGCCAATGGTTTATCGACGGCACCTGGCTGCCTTTAGACGAAGAGGAAAGCGACCTCATCGAGCACGAGCACCTGAACCATTTCCGTGGGCAACAGATGCAGGATACCTTCGAGACGGATTTGGTGGTCAGGACCGTGGATAGCAAAGATGGTGAGAGAGCAGGGGAGGGGACGGAGTAGATGGATAAGGCTGAATGACTTTTAAGAATGTGTGGCAGAAGAATCTAGAAAGCTACAAGATCTTTGAAACAACACAGCACTGAAGCATCCATTCTGGTGACTAAAGTCTGAATAAATAAACACAGCTGATAGCTTGATTATAACTAGATTTGAGAGTGGATGTTGGCAGAGTCAGAGTGGGGTTTGGGGTAGAAACATAAAGCCAAAACACATTATTGCTCACTCACCAGTGCTTCACTGCTGCATCCACCAACCCTGCAGTATTTTTATTGCAGGCAGGCTGGCAGTATCTCGTAAAACAACACCTATACAGTGCTGTGTGAAGGCAGCGAGAAGACGAAATGCTCTCATTAGCAATAAATTCTATAAAAAGTTAAGTTATAATCTTCACCATAAAGCCAGAAGAAAGACGTCGTGAGTCATAAACAGTGAATTATGTGACAGCCCGGCCTGCTGTAGTACTGACACACAGTCAGGAGAACTGAATGGAGCAGGTGCTTCCATTCATGTGAGTATAGGTTTTGTCATGTCATCCTTCGCGACGTAAGGCAGGTGCAGCTCGTACATTCTGGCACGTCTCTTTGGCTCAAGCGAAACGCAGGGGTGTTTTCGCTGCGACAGGCAATAAGAAAGAGGCTCTTTGATTCAGCAGTCTCCTGAAGGCAGCCAGATATACGGGACCTTCACTGGTGATGAATGTGTGGGTGTGTGAATGTGGCAGATAAACAGAGAGAGGCAGAGAGGAAAAGATGCAGCAGCAACCTGTGAGAAAATGTTTAGTCTGCATCCTCAGAACTCAGCAAATATGTGTCAAAGATAATCTGGGGCGTTTATGCAAATTTTAAAATCATCTTCCCACATCAATAAGTAGCATTAATCATGGAATTAGCCTCATTTCCTGTAACGCTGATTACTTATATTTGACTAATACCTGCATAATGACACCAAACTGTTAAATTGATATCAATCACTCAAATCCTTGGCTTGTTTTTAGCACACTGCTGTAGCTGGCATGTCAGGAACTGTCACTAACCCCCTACTCAGAATAAATTAACGCCTATAAATAAAGACTTCAACAGAGCAGATGAAAGGGACTACAGTAGGTCGGTCAGCCTTGCTTGTGTTGTACTCACAGCTGCTGGCACTTCTCTGAATTCAGCACAGAAGTTTTAAATCAAAACTAGAAGGCCACTAGTGGTCCGCAGGCATTCGTGTACATGTACACATGGACACCAGTAGATCTGTATGTGGAAGCAGGCATATATAAACAGGCACAGGGGACAGAGGGATCATAATCAGATTATCTGCAAGACAGGTGTGTGAAATATACAGGAAGGGCGCACAAATTGGTCTTGTGACGCTTAAAGGTCCCTCCACTGCACAGCACACAGATCATATGATGGTAGCTTGTCAAGTGGTTGAGGTACTGCAAGGGTATATGGAGCAGTAAAGACCGAATCACAGTGTTTGTCAACAATAACTTCCGGGCAGAAAAGCCCTGTGTCTTTTTGTCACATCTGACATTAAGGGCAAACTATCCCAGTCACAACAGCAGTGTTGGAGACTGTGCGGACATACGAATGCCAATCACTCCCACAATGTCCTATTTGGAGAAAAATATGTTTAGTTCTAAAAAAAAAAAGATCTTTGGATATGAAATACCTTTTGATGTTAAGGTCCTGTATTTCGGTTCAATAAGTGAAGATACAATGCATAACAAAGATTGGTATCTGTGTAAAATACTGTTTATTGCCAGCAAAATTACAAAGAACTGGTACAAATCTGAGCCTCCAAGCCTTAAACAATAGATGTACATAATCAAGGAGATCTTTATTGTGGAAAAGACTTTTTCCCTGAGGTCTAGAGGAGCAATATTCCCCAGAAAATGTTTCAGAAGTTATGGACACAGCATCGTCGTGAATGTCTGGATAATAAAAGGGCATTTAACATGTGGACTCATGATTACATAACTGGTGAGCCCCCACACAGAGTTCTCTGTGGTGTTTATGTGTTGTCCAAACATTTAAAAAAAAGTTTAAATAAAGTATAAAGTTTAAGCCCTGCATCACGAACATGAAACAAAACAGCGCTGAGCAAACACTGCCTCACTAAGTTAGTTTTTGACCACCTAAAAAAAATCAAGACAAGTTTAAGCTGTTATCTCAAAGCCAACGGACTCTATTGACAAAAACAGCAATTGATGATATATGTCACTTAAACCCAGTGCCTGCTTTATTTCTACATATTTAATCATTTCCTTTAACGCATGGGACTCAAAGCAGCGAGCATCTGTTTGAAACCCTCCTGCTGCCATTGTTGGCACAACGTTTCCCACTCCTATATTTAGCAGAGCGTGAAAGCAGTGTGAGTGATAGATCCTGTTAATTCACCGTATTTCGGTCTCTATTACAGGGAGCCTTTACAGTAGAGTATTTCATCTCGGAGCTAATAATCTGAAGCACTTGGAGCCATAAGCGGGCTACCTTGAACCGCATTACAATTGATAAATGGACCATAAAGCCAGGGAGCTGCGCTCTGACATTACTGCAGTACACACAGTTTCCTCTGCTATCTCTTCCCCCCCCCTCCCTATCTCTACTCTCCTGTCCCTTCTTTCTCTTTGTGTCTGAGTAGCTAGCTGAGACTAAAGGTTAGTGCAGGTAAAGGCGTACTATAGAAATGCCAGCATGCTATGCAGGCATGACATCAGAATGTGGGCAAGGCACAAAATGTTCATGAATGTCCTGTTCCCTCATGATACAAATGTACTTTTCTGCCTCTGTGTGAATTGTAGAGGAGGAAGGCAAATCAGAAGAAAAAGCATGTGCTTGATGGTGTTTATTCTACTAAACACAGATCAATAGTTTTAGTGATACAGTCATACATGATCAGTGGTAGTTTCCACAGCAGATCTTTCAAATATCAGAAGAAATAAGTTTTAATTAGACGGCTTTTGTGAGCTTGAAATTATGAATCGCCTTCAGAAATGTTCTCCTTAATCAAAAAGAGCTTCGGTGCTTGTCACAAAATCTAGTTTTTTCACCTGTATAGACATTTTCCAATTTGTTTTTCTCCTCCCAAATTCATCATACCTCATAAATGTTACTATTGCTAACTTTCTTCAAAGAGTGACTGCTGCAGTTTGAGTGCAGAGGGAAGTTGTTGCCATACATTGTGGCATCAAAGAGGCACTCACAGCTCTCATTTCAGATATTGAGGCTGAAAATGGCCACGAGGGCATTACAGTTGATGGATTTAATAAACCGTCTTTCAATGTTTTGATTTTCATTGGCCAGCTTCCATCAGCAGAATCTTTTCTCAGCATAACGGTGGCAGTGTTATTTTCCAAAGCTGAGGAAAATCTTACTTGAGCTGAATATGAAATTGAAAAAAGAGAAATAAGGGGAAAAACATTTAATTAGAATAAAGTCCCATCCATTCCTTTTAAGCTTCTTCAATTTGTGTGCATATGGGTGCAGAGCAGTGAGCCTGTGGTGGAAACTGCAGGGTGTGTCCCAGTCTGTCAGGCCTCTCAGACGTCAAAAGGAAAATAAAACCAGCAGGTTGGACACAGGGTCATCTGTCAGCATAATACTAATGGTATGTTTGAGGTAGGCAAGTCCCACATGCTGGTTTGTGTACACTACATATTCAGCTGCTTATTTATTTAACCAGCATATGAGGCTGGAAACACATGGCATGATTGATGTCTGACACATGCTGAAAAGAAGTGGAAATTGTTAATTTAATAATTAGCTTTTGAAATGATTTATCTAACCTGTTTGTTTACCTTCATCAATATGAGATTGTTTTAAAGTGCCTTCAGGTGATCCAAGTGTCATGTGTGTGACCTAAACCCCCTGAGGATGATTGTACACTACCAACCACCACACAAATGAAATGTACCATATGACGCACATAGTAGATACTCCAATCATTAGAGAACATCTTTTTATGGATGAATCCATCAGCTGTAATGCCCAAATGGACTTACTCATAGCTATTGCAGCAAACAAACTTCTTGTGCACTCAGCAGGTCTCTCCTCTTCCTCCTCCTCAGCCTTTCACCTCACACTGCTGACATTTGCAAGTCAGATGTCCGTGTTATCACGGGGGTGAAGGATTTAGTCAGATGCGAGACTTTGCTGATTTGATTTACAAATGCAGAGGTGGTCTTTTTAAATGTCAAATCAGGACAGCCAAATACGACTGATTTAGTGATTTGATGAACGTAGAGCTGCTGGAAGTTTGATTTGGATTTATGTGACGATTCTTGGGCAGTCATTTGAGCATATGAGTTCTGCTAATTATTTCAATACAACAGATGTTTACCAATATCTATGAAACATTATATAACTTACTTTAATTTCTATCCCGTAGTGTTTATATTTCTAAGTTGTTGACATGATTGGATTAGGCTCCCATTAAACCATAAACTATTGTCAGTATAGGATTTAAATTAATGACAGAAAACATCATTTGGTCCAGGTTATTGCCACATGATTAATTCATATACTAGTGCCTGTACTTCTAACTCAAGCCACAGGGACATTCAGCTGTATCAGTTGTGTCTCAACATTTCTTTATTAATACTTTTAAGACAATAAATATAAGAAAAATAGAAATTAGGGATGGGAATGAAGAACCGGTTCCAATATGGCCGATCCATTGGAAACATGCCTCTGAGCTTATCAGTTCCTTTTATTGATGCGTGTTTTGCTGACAGTTGCACATTGCAAAACAATGACGTCCAACTCATGTCTACCCTCCTTGAAAGTTGCAACAAGAAGGATTCATAGTGGAGATGTAGAAACTGTCCACAGCAGTATGCTGAAACAGCTTTTCTATGCCAAGGGGGCTTAAATTCCAGGAATGCCATGTATTGGTCACTCTACAAGTTCCACTGCTTTCCAACCATGCAGCACGTCCAGTTTTAAGGTTAAATATCCTGTTATAGCATCAGCACCACACAGGCAGGCCTTGCAGATGTTTTCTTTGACAAAGAAAAGCTAAATGAAAACAAATGCTGTACAAATATTTATTTAGTCATTTCACCTACACCGTGTTTAGACTAGATGTGTTAATACTGAAAGACTGTGTAGGTGTACTTTTCTCTCCACACAGAAGATTTATCAGGAATCAATGGAATGAATTGAAGAATGTGGCCGATAAGCAGAATCGATAATGGCATTGGTACCATAATCTTCTCAATTCCCATCCCTAATACCAATACACATCGTCTCTCTCCACAGAAACGTATTGAACCACATTGCATATCATTTTTCTCTTCAGTCCAACTTCGCTTATACTCTTACCGATCTATTTGTATTTTTGTAGTCACTTTGTTCCTTGCTGGTGGTGTGAAATTCATCATCAGTTCCCTAAAATGTTTCTCATATGCAAAGTATGAACTATTTACTGACCCAAATGGAAACAAAAGCACTGCCAGATGCTGTCAGGAACTTTTAAGGTTTTGTGAGGTGTATTTGTGTTTTACTTTTTTACAAAATGTCTTGAATTTGTTGACCAATTTGTGGTTTTTATGCCATTTTATATGTATATAATATAGTTGTTTTTTTAATCATTGTTTTAGTCATGCATCATGTGGGAAAGGAACTTCCAACTACTGTACTGTTTTTAGAAGAGTAGCAGTGTATTATGCATTCACAAAAGGTTTTGAAGAAGTGGTGGTTAACTTCATGAAATGTTAATCTCCACAGTGAAGTGTTAAATAGATGCTACCTCAGTCATCTCAGGCATGTGTCAAGCAGCGCTGCATTTTGAGCTGTGGCCAAGGCTTTGTTTGATGTTATTTTCATGACACCTACCTGCAGCCACCAGGCTCTGTCAGTATACCAGCACAGGCTCAGTGTGCAGGGCCTTAAAGTGGTAACCTGAGAGCAGCGCTACTTGATAGATGGGCCTGTTTAAGAGCGATGACAGCGGTAGCCTATGTGACTGACACCAGGGTAATAGCCATTACTCACTCTCTCTTGGTTGTTAGTTCTCTCCCACCTGCCCCCTTTCTACCTCCCTTTTCTGTTCAAATGGAGTGGATATCAGAGGAGTGCTAAAACTACATGTCACAAACGCAAACGCTGCCAAGGTACTGTAAAATACCAAGTTCTTTTTTTTAACTTCTGCTAGCTTGTGTCCTTTCTCCTGGTAGATCCTAGGTCCTTATGGAACTAGATTTTCCTTTCCGTTCTGGTTCAGACCTGTTCGCTCTGAGATTTAGACCTAGACCTAGGCTCAGTTAGAAATGGTTGTGTTAAAATGAATTTAGGCTTCCCTCCCAGTTTTCCATTGCAGCCTTAACTGGGCCTAGTTGCTAGAATTTTTCCCTTTTGTGCTGTGACCCAGAGTTTTGTACCGCTGTTGCTGCTTTTTGAGGAAACCTTTGTATCTGTCTCTTATCTCCTTGCTGGGATAGAGAGTAGACAACATGGTTCACTCAACTACAAGGGCAAGACCCCATAAACCAGTGGATGTGAAAAAAATAAGCTGGTCCTGGTCCTCAAAAAGCCAACCTTCTTTACCCCCTTTTTATAAAACTCTCCAGCCCAGTCTCCCACTTTCTCTCTCACTGCTTCCTTTCTCTCATCCCTTCTGGCAGTTCGACCGTCATTAATGAACCACCGTCGCCAGCTCTCGCTCTAAGAGCAATGAACAAAGCTCTCTGTTGAGAGGCAAACACAAGTGATGAGCTGAACAGTGGAGTCATTGTGGCCCTTCACTATAGCCCCCTAACATGTTGTGTAGAGCTGCCCTCTCAGAGGTCCATCACTGTCCTAGTTCTGGGTCTATTGACCCTCTTCAGAAATGCTGAACAGAGAGGTCTCTGGGTCTTCATCTCATAGTAAATCCAAGCCACCATTGACCCCATAGACCTGTGATTTCCCAGGTTTGAGAGTGTTGCAGTACTGCTAGTGAAACACTTTTTACTAACATCATGTTAAAAGAGCAGTTTGGATTTTTTTAAGTGGGGTTGTTTGAAGTACTTACCCACAGTGAATTACCTGCAGTAGATGGCGGTCTGTGCACCCCCAGTTTGGATTAAAAAAAAGACAGGAGCACCAGCACGGTAGCAAAGCAATGTCCTACTGTGGACAGGCTGGAGAAAAATGTATATTAGCAGCCTAAAAGAATCAATATCAGTTTATATTTAGAACAGTGTAGGGCTTTACCTTGTCGTTTACCAGCGACTTCCAGCCACCAGTCTCCATTGACAGAAAGATTAATTTTACCTCACTGAACATGGGAGTTGCTGGTCTGCCTCTGCCTCGATTGGTTATTGTGTGACTCTTGGGTTTAAAAGGGTTAGTTCGGACTCACCAAAGTCACACAATAACACAAACAAACGAATTGAGGCAGCGGCAGGCCAGCGACCCCTGTGTGTTGGGCTGGCAGGATATCAGGTTTTCATGACATGATTATTGTGTCCAAAAGAGTTCACCAAAACAATATTATGGTGATGTTGATAGAAAATTTGAAATAATAGTAATAATAATAATCAGTCAAATCCATCTTTAACTTAATTTATTATGGCTTTTTTTTTTTTTTTTTTGGTCGGCAAATGAACTACACTTAAATTACGAGTATAGGGCGGTAGAGAAAAAGTCTGTAACTGTAGCTGTACAAAAGCGCAAAAAACATTGAATAGACATTGAAAATACATTGAATAGATGGTGAAAAAATAAATTATTTAAACGATGTTGGATTATTTACACAAGATTATCTTATTTTTATTATTAACCTGATATAAGTATTTAAATTTGAATATTATGGTCATCAATACCAGTATATCCAACACCACTACCTGTATTCTGCAGTGTAAAATTATTGTTTTTGTCAATGGATTCTAGTGGCTGTGAAGAGATTAAAGATGGATATAATGTCTTTAGTTCCCCATTAGAAAAGGGCTTTGTGACGGCAAGGTAAAGTGGTGAAAATATTCGAAATATAGCATAGACTTAAAACTGATACTGATTTTGTTGGTGGGCTAAAATACATTTTGCTGCTGCCCCCATCCACAGCAGTACATTGCTTAGCTTGCATGGTGGTACTTCTGTCTGCTTCTCTAAACTGCTGGAGTGCCGATCACCATCTACTGTAGGTAAGGCACAGTAGATAGTTCGGATAAGTATCGAACTATCCCTTTAAGATTACACTAATATTCTGTCTCGTTCGTCTCTACAAGAGATGGGAAAACCTTATGAAGGAAATGTGGCTGATATGTTTGTCATGCTACAGCCAAGAAAAAGCGTAACTGACATATAGCCATAAATGTCTCAGTGCCAGACCAGCATTAGAGCACATTGTACATGTGGTTAGTTTAAGGAACCTTTCCATTTATGTCAACCCCACCCATCCAACACCTAGCTTCCTGCATATTTACAAAACTCTTCCTTCTAGTTTACCCAGTTCCTCCCCACTCTTTGTCACATTTTCTACCCTTCATCCCTTATTTTATTACCCTCTTCCTCACACTGTGTCCCTTAGTAATTTGCCTTAGCAGTGATAGAGAACTCCCTCAGTAAACTCTTAAACCTCTCTTGGTTCACTGCCAGTTCCTCTGTATAAGTTGATCCTCCTGCTTTTCCCCTCCTTTTGCAATGCATTGCCTTTCATTGTAAAACAGGAAGTGTCCTTGTACAGCACCTAAGCATCACTCCATCTTACTGGCTACATTTTCACTTGTAAATCCCATCAAACTAATATTTTGTATTGATAAAACCAGGGTTCTGGAGAGGTAGTTTGTCTTCTAGCTGGACTAGTACCTCCTGTTTTACAGTGGACTTGGCTACAAATAAAGCTCCATAGTCTGTAGTGGCTTGACCCACCCTATAACGGTGAGTAGGTCTCATGGCAGCCGACACCGTCCTTTTCTCCTTCGCCCTCGCTTGTGAGTCCATGGGGTAGATGAGGAAAGGAGGCCACTCTAAACTCTTTAAGATGAAGCCAAACTGTGTGGTGAAAGGTTCTCTTCTCCGCAGACCTGATTGTTCCCCTTTGCTGCTGCTGTCATGAGTCATTTAGTGATATTCTGTGTGGTGGTAGAGGTTAAGCCTATGTTTGCTTTTCTGTGAAGTGGTTTTATGTGGGGATCTGCGAAGATAAATGGAAATGTATGACAGAGGAAGCTATAGCTCTCACCTCAGGTTCCTCAGGACATGACCTCTATTGTTTTATCTGGTTTGGAAAAATATCACCCTTTCCTCTGTTATGCCAAATTGAACTAGTGTCCTTGGCAAACTCTTCTTCCAGACCCTGCTTGTCCTTCTCCTTTAGAGACAGCCCTTCCTTTTCACATTAGTTGCCCTCAGAGTGAACACCTAAGGTGTAACAACTACTTGGCCTTGTATTACCCAAAGGTCATGCTTGTCCAATGAAGAAATTAGCCTGCCAGGCTATAGAGTCCCAGATTAACTCCACCATGTGACTCAAGATCACATAGGTTCAGTTTATATGTCTTGTTTTATTAATTCACACTGGGACAGGAAAGAGAGACAACTAAATTTTTGAACTTCTTCACAAATGTCTTATCTACTCCTCCCTGTAGACTTGGCACCAAGGAATCTCTAATAAATGTCCAAATATTATAGGACGGATGAGAAGAAATAAACCTATGGAAAGGATGCACAGGTCTGACACATGACACAAGTGATTCCTTGGGCATGTTTCCACTCCTCTATGAAAGATGCTGAAGCACCATAGTAACACTTGTTGGAGCATTTCATTCTGTATTGTTTGTGGGACCATATTGTTCCACGTTTCGCAAGTTTATTAAAAAAGCCATCTGGAGCATTTTGTTTCTCCAAGTACTTTACCACCTTCTTAAAGGGTTTAATCCCCAGATTGGTTCAGAGCGGAACACAGAGCCATGACTGTGTGCACTGGACCTACGCCAAAGTCTTCCACCAATTCCATCCAGATGAACTTGACTGCATGGGACGTTTAAAGGACACACTGCAGAGACATAAATAACTCTCTCAAGTCAACCAGTTTCATTTATCGCTCTTAGCTTCTGTAGCAAATATCTCCTCCCTAGCCATAAGTCTGCTCTTACTTGCCCTTGTCACTGTGTTACAGTTTGAAGCAACAACACAGAGAGAAATTGAACTTAAAGACACATGAATTTAAAAATATATTCTGTCTGATGACACAAGCAGGGCAGACAAGCAAGAGCTGAAATATGCAATCATGGTGTGTGATAGTTTGATGTGTTTTTCTTTCCAACTGCAGATCAATGCTCCAGACTGCATTTGATTGAGCTGTATGAATAGATTGATCTTAGACTTTTGCTTTTTCGCACCGCGTTTAATTTCATCGCAATTCTTACACTGTTTTCAATCGCTCTCCCTCTGTGATCATCTTGAAATTTGTAATCACGACCCTTTGTATTGATGAACATTTCTCCTTCTCCCCTTTTCCCTGATTTTCCCGTCTCTTTGCCCAATTTCCCGCACCGTCTCCCAACGCTCTCCTTTCTTTCCTCTGATCACTCATTCACTCACTCCTCTCTCACTGCCCCCTCCTGCAGCCATCCACAGCCTGAAGCTGAGTCGGACCCACGTGGATTGGCACAGCGTGGATGAAGTTTACCTCTACAGCGATGCCACCACTTCCAAAATTGCACGCACAGTCACCCAGAAACTGGGATTCTCTAAAGGTCTGTAATGTTCATTATCTTTCCAGATAATAAGGTGGACAAGATGTTCCCTAATCATGCTGTATATGTGTATTTGTACTTGTATCAGTAATGAAATGATTTGAAAGACACTGTTAGAAGAGTTAATAGCTTAAATCATTTGGTCAAACAGTTTTACTCTCACGACAAGGTACTCCCTCATTGTACATATTACTACAACAATATATATTATAATACAAAATATGATCAGAGATTTAAATACTTTTTTGTGTACATGCACCTTTTTTTCTTTACCTGCACCCAAACTGAACCGTTTGGTGTATTTCTCGGCATTTCTGCTGCAGCCAGATCTAACTGGAAGAAATCCAACATTAGCCACTGTGACATTTTCATTTTTATGACAATTCAAATATGAAGAAATCATCAGTGCGTCATAATGTAATTTGAGCCGACTTTCCCTTTGATTTCCTCAGGAAATGAACAGTAAAATAAGTTGTAATTTGCACAGTCATAGTCAGGCTCACCATGCACAGGGTGACATTGAGTATTTCAGCAAACCTCTGAAGGCAAACATTTATTTATTAAATTATGAGAGTTAAAAAATTAGGACATATTCATGATAGTGTCCTTTGAGCTGACTTTCCTTGTGCAGTGAAACTTAAAATTTCCCTGTGGTCACAGGAACATTTTGAGCAGCAATCCATTGTGCTTCTCTGCAAACCTCATATGGAAATGTTTTTTATTATATTGGGACTTCTTTGGTGATGTCACATATTTAGTTCAATTTTTCAATTTTCAATAAAGCCCAATATCACTAATCCCAATTTGCCTCAGAGGGCTTTACAGCATACGACATTCCTCTGTCCTTTGGACCCTCACAGCAGATAAGGAAAAAAACCCAAAAAAAACTTTTAACGGGAAAAAATACTTTGTTTGTTACTGCATGAGAAAATGAACGTTTGGAAGAAGATCGGGTGAAAAGTGTCAATTGCGAGAGAATTGTCAGCACTGCACAACGTATTTTGCATATCAAGTCATATGCATCTCTAGATGTAGAGCTGCAAATTATGCGCACAACTCAAATTATACGTGCACTACTGTGCATATGGTATTTTGATCCCTGAGAATGCATTGATGACAAAGTATTAAAGAAACATTTTTATTGAACTAAGTTATATAAACAGTTTGTTTTGCTATAATTAGTTTGAAGTCAAATCAAGCTGCAACCTCCAGGGCTGAAAAATGAAGCCAACTTGGAAGAACTGAAAACTGCAGTTCTTTGAATGACCACTTGGGGCTGGCTCCAGAGGCCAGTCAATCCCCATAGACGTCCTGAAATACGTGGTACAAAAAAACCCAAACAGTTTTGGTCTCTATAGCTAATTTCCCCCTTCATGACATCTGTACAGGGGATGAATATTTATATGACTCAAAAGTTCAAGTTCAGCTTAATTAAGTGCGGGCTGCTTTAAGTGTCGGGCTGTCTGCCAGTAGTGTCCTCGGCTTCTCAGTCAGATCCAACCCTCTTGCTCAAATTAGTCACTTCTGGCTGCAACAAAACAAGATGGTGATCGACAAATTGCCAAACTCATGGCTTCAAAACAGCAGTCCACAAACCAGTGTGTGATGTCACGGTAGCTACGTCCATTATTTTCCAGTCTATAGGCCAAACTCAGGGTCAGATAAGACAAAGAGTCTACAGCCACGCTAGCGGTGAGGCTATACTTAGAGCAATGGTTTGGGCTTAATGCTAATGTCAGCATGCAAACATGCTCACAAGGACAATGTTAACACATTGCCATTTAGCAGGTAGTAATTATCTCGGTCACCATGTTATGTTGTGTTTTAGCAAGCTGACAGTTGCTAATTAGCAGTGCTGCTGAGGTGGATAGGAATGTTAATAAACATTATAAATATTGGACAAAGTGAAATTTTGACCTGATGATGGTGTTAAATGAGCACTCAGAGGATCACTTAAGTTAGAGCAAATCATCTTGAGGGGTCTGTACCTCATTTCGAGGACAACAGATCAACATTGCCCTCCACAGAGCTAGCATGGCACAAACCTTTACTGCTTCCTTGGTTCGTGAGATACACACCTGTTGCCACTTTTCTGCTCATCTAATGCAGACATGTTATAGCTGCATTCACAGTGTGTCACCATCTGCTATTATTAAACAGTAGTTTAAATATGGCTGGGTACAGTTCAGTCTCTTAACCGGATTAGCCCAGAGAATCACGCAGTGTCCATCTGCTGTTCTCAGGGTCTAGGTTTAATCAGATGGCCCGAGTGTAACTGAAAAGACGGCAACTGCAGTTTGACCCCGTGTCTGATGTTTGATTTGTATGGATGACTCTAATCTGATCCACAGTCTCCCGGCCCCGCGGTGCATTTTCATCTCCTGCTCGCAGATTATAAGAGTAGGAGCTGGCACTGACGATGTCAATCTCCCCTGACACACAAATACTCAGTGTTGGGAAATCTCCTTAGTGCTGTCCAGACAGCAGCAAAGTCCATTGGCTCCTATCACCTAGTCACACAGCACATGACTGCACATTTCAGTTGCTGGCACGGAGTCTTGTGCCACTGTTATACGTAGCAGGACTTTGTGTCTCACCTACTGGCCTGTTTGGACCCAGAACAGCACGTTGCTTAAACACTCTCATGTAGATGTAGATATAGATGTAGATTTATATCCTTTAGTAAACAGTGTGGGAATGTGTGTATTAAGCAGTGCAGTACAGATATGACTGTGAAAATGTTTTCTTATTGCACAAAAATCACAAGCAAACAGCCAGGTATGATGGATAATAGTCCAATCGTGTCCTCTGTCCTCTTCCAGCCTCCAGCAGTGGCACACGGCTCCATCGGGGTTACGTTGAGGAGGCCTCACCTGAGGACAGACCCCCTCAAACTACGCACATTGTCTTTGTGGTCCATGGGATTGGACAGAAAATGGACCAGGGACGCATAATTAAAAACACTGGAATGTGAGTTTTTAAAATTTGTTTTATGTCAGCAGAATTGTTCACTTCTGTTCCGTAGACTTTACAAAGCAGGTTTAAATTTATTTGCACACAAACCAAATCCAGTCTAAGTAAAGAAAAACTCTCCCTTTGATGATGTAATATTTGTCATGTTTGTTTGCTGTTCCCTTTCTCTTCTTTTCCAGACACGGTCTGTCTCTCACACTTCTCACCCTGTCACTGTGTTTGTCCTGTGGCTTTTATAGAGACGGCTCACTTCTTCTTTCTTTTCACTTTGTGTCTCTGTTTGTCACGACAAAAGCGTGCTAACATCTTGTGCTTTTAAAGAGTTGTTAAGTGTCCCGTAGCATTTTCAGTAAGTTCCCTGACCTTTTGATTGAGCTTATATTACATGTTGTGTTTTTATTAACTGATGCAGGGTTTTAAATGTGAACATGTCTGGCCAGTTTTTGTGTTTACAGAGAACTCTCTCTTTCAGTAACATTGCCAAGTATGTAACTAGTGAATTTATGGAATGCCCAACTACAGTCCTTAAAGAAAATATTGTCTCTGCTCATTATGTAATCGCAGCTGTTGTTAAAGCATTAACTTATTTACAAATGTCTCCAGTGACGGTGCTAGACTGTTTCAAATGGGAGAGACAGGCTTAGGCCACATGCAATTTTAGGGGTATCATACCATCACCAGCGTCCCCACCACAGGTTTGATTCTCCAAAAGGCTGATGATACACTTATAGCAATAGAGTAAGTAAAAGCTAACATTAGGCCATAAGCAAACTACACCACGGTTGCATGACTTTGACGTCACCACCACAAAGAGGCTGTAAAGGCGTGAGTACATTTTCTGTCCATGGCAACCTCGGTTGTCTCATTAGCCTCTTGGTACATGGCACTATACTTACTTTGGGGTTCAGGATATTGCCCGTGTATACTTCGACATGCAGACTGGAGGAGTTGGGGATGGAACCGCCAGACCTCCGAGCAGTGGACGACCTGCTCTAGCCACCATTCTTTTCGACACGTAGAAACTTCAGAATTCACAAGTGGGGTATTTGCTGATGTATTTTATGCCGTGGGTCCCAACTGGTCCACCCACGGGGTCCGGATTTCTCCCTAGTCATTAGTTCAAGGTCCACGTGGTTTAATATATTCAGCGTCATACTTGCGCTTGGCCATGTCATCGAGCTAGTTTGCTGTCTCTGTTAAGTAGCTGTCCATTAGTCACTCACTCTACAGCGGGAAACGGCATCTCTGTGATGGAACTTGACACATTCACGGGTCACTTGCGTTCCACTGAGAATGGACCCACAACCCACTTTTGGACCGCGACCCACCAGTTGGGAACCACTGCCATAGAGAGAATCATGAATATTTCTTAACCTTGTGTGAACAATAGACCTTATTTCAGGCATCTAACCAAAACAGATTCAAAAATTGACTTGAGGATGAGGGAAGTCTTAAAATGTGAACTCTATAAACACAAGAATACTACTTTATTTATCACCACCCATGAATATTCCTAATAATTTCCCCTCTCTGGGGATAAATATGGAATGAAAAATGTATGAAAATATTCGCCACAGTTAGCAGGGCCAGAGGGGAGTCCAGGTTTAATATAGAGCGCTGGCCCCCTTTAAAACCGCCATTGAACGTCTCACACTTTTTCCCCTCTGCTTTGTTCATCCAAGGCCGCCCATAGTGGAAGCTATTTCAGGCATTCCTTTTGATAACACTGCACCTGCAGCTTTTGTGTTTTGTCCCTCCCTCCACCCCCAGCTTTCTCACCCTCTTTGTCTTCTCCTGCTGTTCTCTTACTTTACACACGGTATTATTAAATTGCCTTCAGTACGGCGGCCAAGAAAGCACAATGCATCAAAACTTTGGGGAAACACAAGGGAACAGGGAGACATATTTGCCTGATATATTGCATTTAGTGAGGATCTGCAGCATCAGCAAACTAGAAACACGTATGCAGCATCAGGGAAATATTTTTTATCTGTTCTACATGAATCTAAATGAACTGTATTTGTCAAAAGAACTGGGACACAGGCTGTCTCTGTATTTAAACGCAAGTAAACTCACCAGTTACACGAATGTCTTGAATGCTTTGAGCACCACAAAGAAAAATATATTTCTTCCCATTTTATTAGGGTGCTGTCACAACTTGTAGACATGGATGTCTCACAACTTTGGAACATTAAACCGAAATTGTCAGCATGATCTGATACCACTAGCTGATCCTTTAACCAGCCTGATGAGTTCTTTTTGTCTCTCACAGGCTTAACGTTTTAATGAGGAACTCTGTCACAATATTAGATCTCTGTGTAGATCTCTATGTAACTTCCACAGTGGGGAAGTTACGGTGACAGGCCACAACGGTCACTTCTGCCGTAAGAGACCTGATGGAGCAAATTATTGCAGTGTTCTTGCCTTTTTTAAAAGTGAAACTCACTGCAGCTCATTTTGGTATAGGCTGTTGATCAGTTTTGAATGTTACTTATGCAAGGCACAGTCCTTTTCTTGTTTTTGTGTTAGTCTTATGTACTGTTTAAAGACATGACCCTGAGTGGCACCACTGTTCTGGCCCCGGCCCATGAAGCATTACAGGCAGTAGTACAGAACGTGCGGACCAGAGCCATGTGTGTCTCTGTGTCACACAGTTAGCGTCGGGCCACTGGCTGTGGCTTAGGCCGGCTAAGCAGGTAAAGTAGACCAAGTCAAGCTGCAGAGCACTTTAAGCCCCACTCCCAGCTCCCTGTGGATTACAGCACACACACTCTCCTCAGCCAAGAGGAAAGATCAACCTGACGTGTCTAGCTGGCTTGTTTTGTTTATTTTATTTTTAACCTGCATAATTTCAGCTCTGTGTCTCTCTGAGTGTCAGTGTGACAGAGGAAATTGTGGGCTGTTATTATGCTCTAAAACAAAAACAGTCTTTTCAAAACCTTTTGTAAGCTAAACCTATTAAGTCAAAGCTCACTGCCCAATTAATGCCAACCTAAGAGCTGGGTGCTCCTTATGGGCACAGCACAGAGAGCTCTGTAATGCACCACTCAACCCTCTGAGCGTTTCTTTCCCCGCAGATACACTAACCTGCAGATAGTCCTGTCAAAACCTACATTAGGTACTCCATTCACAAACCAGCCACCTAAAAGCCACTCTCAGGCTCCATTTACCCACGTAAACACCCTACCTCACCCTCACTCTTTGTGTATTTCCTGTGAGCTATTGCTGCTCCATATAGGACGAGGAGCAGCCATTGTGTGCGTGTGTGCTGCATCAGGGAGTAGCAAAATGGGCGTCATTCTTCCCCTCCCGACAGTCATTAAAGTCTGCGAGAGAACGAGTCCAAACACAGACCCTTTAGTCAAGGATGTTACTCATCCGCTGAACTTGTCATTATCATACACTGCTGCCCACACGATGATGATGGCATTGTTTCTAAATGAAGCACTTTCTCTGCATTTTGTACCTGAATGTTTTGGCATATTAACCAAAATATGCACCATAAAGTAATAAAAATGCGAGCGTGCACTGTTGTCCTCATACACTTGTGTGGTTTTTATTGTTATGTGTCTGTTCAGGCTGAGGGAAGGTGTGCGGAAGATGGAGGAGAAGCACTTTTCAGAGCACAATGACGAGCACGTGGAGTTCCTGCCTGTCGAGTGGCGCTCCAAACTTGCACTGGATGGAGGTAAGTGTGTGTTTTTGAGACTGCGGGAGCCTGCGTATATGTGTTTATTTAGTCTGTTTGCTTTGTGCTGTAAGTGTGAACAGTTGTGTTATTGTAACTCTGTACATGGTGGATGTATTTAAGTTGTTCAGTCTTCCTGGTCTAATGAAAAAAGTCAAGGAAGCATAGCCGGAGTCATCCCTTATAGAACTTAGTATTTATATAGGAGTGACAACAGCAGTCGTAACCTCATGACAGAGTCCTGCCCGGGTCTACTTTTCAAGACCCACTCCTGAACTGGCACAGCAAAGTGCAATACCCCTATAATCCTATAATAACCATGCATTGTTCAAATAATTTTGTAAGGTAGCACATTCAAAGTGATCATTTAGGGACTGTTATATGTGTTAACCACTTGACGATACTGACTCGTGTGTGCGCACGGCGAGAGAGGAGAGGGAGAGACGCTGTGCTGCTGCCAGGGGAGCCACTGAATGAGTTCCCTTTGAGCTGTAACTAGCTAAGAGAGTCTGAGAAGTCCGGGGCTGTTCATAAAACATTCAGGACGCCACAGTTTATTCCACACTGCTGAAGCTGCTCCTCTTTTTGGAGCCACCGCAGTGTCTGTAATAATTTTGACGACAAGCCGCAATATCGCGAGTATCACGATATGAATTTGAGGTGACCGTGTCAATCCAATCTGAACATTATTATCTTTGTAAAGGTTGACTTTATGGGTGAGCTGTTACATTGGATTGCAGTAGCTTTTATAGCCAATAAAGTGGCCACTGGGTGTATGAATTTAGGCACCATCATGTTTCATACTGTGGTATCGTTGCCTTGTTTCTGTAGATACAGTAGACTCAATAACACCTGACAAAGTGAGAGGACTGAGAGATCTTCTCAACAGCAGTGCCATGGACATCATGTACTACAACAGCCCCCTTTACCGGGATGAGGTGAGAGTCACACACTTCAGGAAGTTAGAGTTCTCTGAGAGCCGCTATTTCTACTGACTCCACTCGCTCGTCTCCCTCAGATCACCAAGGGCCTAACACAGGAGCTAAACAGACTCTACACACTATTCTGCTCCCGGAACCCCGAGTTCGAGGAGAGGGGAGGCAAAGTGTCCATCGTGTCCCACTCCCTCGGCTGCGTCATCACCTACGACATCATGACGGGGTGGGATCCTGTGCGCTTCTGTCAGCAGACGCATCACGCTGTGGAGGAGGGGCTGGACCTGCGCTGGATGTCTTACGAGGAGAGGCACGTTGTGGAGCAGCTGCGGATCACGAGGAACAGGTAGATGTAACTTTTGATAGACCATACCTAGCTGTTCATACCTTTCAAACCACTCCAAATTCAATATCTCCATTTTTTCAGACGGTACGTTCTGTTTCCTGTTTGTTTTTGTGAGGCAGCAGGGTGTTGTGATGCCACATGGTCAAATGAAAGCAAAGAGGCTCTTAATATATCTCCTCTACACCACCCACCTAAGCTGTGCTATCAGGGAAGTTTTCATTTATTATTCTACTTTATGAACACTCTCTGTCCCTTTCTGTTTCTGTTTCTGACAGGCTACAAGAGCTGGAAAATAAACTCCTCATACATGAGGCCTCAAAAGCCCCAGCACGCCCAGCTCTCAAATTTAAGGTGAGATGCTCGGTCATTTTCAACATTCTGTATGTGTGCCATTACAATATGACCATCCACAACTTCTCACAGTGGAAACAGGGAAAAAAGTGTACCGAATCGAACTGTACTGCTCGGTGGAAACTGGGCTAATATCATCTTTGCACCTTGTGTCTCTCAGGTGGAAAACTTCTTCTGCATGGGTTCCCCTCTGGCGGTGTTCTTGGCTCTGAGAGGGATCCGTCCTGGTACGAGCTGCCACCAAGACCACATCCTGCCCACCCCCATCTGCAGCAGGCTCTTCAATGTCTTCCATCCCACAGACCCTGTGGTCAGTCTCTCTTAACTGCCCCAGCCCATACAGACACTCTCTCTCACTCACTTTAACACCAAATCAAAATTTCCTACTCTTAATTATTTGCAACTTCGCCCACATACATTAAGGGTGAGATTTATAAGTGGTTATATGCTGTTTTTATTGCACATTTCCCACTGTACTCGGCTGATGAAAACAAACCTTTGCAACTCACTCCATCAGATGTTGAAATTATAAATGTGCATGTATACATTTCACACCTGGAAGTCATTTCTCTATACTGTAAGCTAACTGAAGTTTTATTGCTGTGTTCAGGCCTACAGACTGGAGCCACTCATCCTCAAACATTACAGCAATGTCGCACCTGTTCAGATACACTGGTAAGAACTTAAGTTTTAAAACTCTTGAGTTGTGCATCCCTTGGAACTGCCATTTCCTCCATCTCAAGGTCTTATTCACAGAAGATATTACAGCATAAAACGCCAATAAAATTCTGCAGCTGAGTGCAGTTTGCCCCCTTTCTGTCTGATCACAGTCATCCCTGTGGCAAAGTATAAATTCCACCTTTGCGCTAAGAGCACATTAGGCAGAGACAGTGGCATAGAGAAAAAGAAAAGGGAAATTTTTAGACCAAAAGCTACAGGTCCTGATGAACAGGCGTGCCCTGTGACAGAGAAAAATGATAGACATGACGATGTCCAGTGTCGTCTTTTGTAAGTCTTGTATAGAGTCCATTTGTCCCATTTTCTGTCTAGTTGTGCTTCTTATAGTCTCAGTATGTGTGTCAGTTTCTCCATTAAAAAGATTTTGTCACAATTGTTAGCCACTGGTCCTTCATTGGTGGCGTTTCTTTACCCTAGTTCCTAGTTATAGCTTTCTTGCTTGCTACCAGCAATATTTTGATCAAATATCTATCACGAGCAATAACATTTTCTTCAGAAAATGTACATAGATAAAGCAGCAAGCAACTGTTAGGAACCTCATATCCTAGTATGTGCTTAGCTCGTTACATACCGTTTCCCAAAATACAGGTTTTTTTCTCACATTTCCAAAAAAACATGAGAGTTGTCTACATCAAAAGACCCGCACTATCGCTAACATGAAGGCTGCGTTTCACCTTTTGCAGCTGCTTTGAAAATTACAGCCTCTTTTTGTTTGTTTGTGCAAGATTAGCGGCCGCAAAAGCCGCACAATCCTTTTGTTAATTTGCCTAAGAATGTCTTTAGAGTATGTTCTGAGTGTTTGTGTTTTTTCTCTATCAGGTGTAGCGCCACTAACCCCACACCCTACGATGAGATCAGGCCTACTTTCCTGACCCCGGTCAAAGACCCAACATCCGACACTGAGAGCATCCCCAGCCCGAGCACGTCTCCTGTACTCGCCCGCAGGCACTACGGAGAGTCCATCACCAATCTGGGCAAGGCCAGCATACTGGGTAAGACAATGCCGCCACTTCTCATGATTGATGATTACTATATGCCAGTCCAGAAGTTGTAATATTCTTCAATAAAACCACATTTAACTTGTGAAAAATGGGAAAGAATAGACTACTATGATGAAAGGTGTCTGGGGTGGAGAAGAAAGGATTTTCACAGTTTTTCTACACATGGTACTGGGAAATAATATGAGCTCTGACAGCCCAGAGAAAGAGCTGAGCCAGTAAATTTCACCCTGGAGATTGTCCTTATACCATAGGTGAAATCCATTCTCCCCTGTGAGGTTCAGTTTTTAAAGTAATGTGAGATGCTCCCTGTGTCAACACTGCCACCATGTGGAGAGATTGAGAATAGACTCTTACACTTTGCCTCCCCTGTAGGTTGAGATAAATTAAATTGAAAATAAAAAGAGGAAGAGAAGCCTTCTGCCAGCATGTGACATTTTGTTTTTGTCTTTCTACCATACTTCATGTAGGAGCGGCGAGCATAGGGAAGGGCATCGGAGGCATCCTCTTCTCACGTTTCTCCCGCTCCAACAGCCAGCCCTCAGTGTCTTTAGGCCTGGACGTAGGAACAAACACTGAGGAGGAGGAGCAGAAGCGGACGGAAAGCCAGTCAGCATATGGCCTCTCCACCATCATCCGGCCAACCTCACCCATCACTGACACATCATGTTAGTTCCCTTATTTTAAAACAATCAAAGTCTCATATTTGCTGGTGGGCGTAGAAGCTGTACAAATCATAACGTCTGTTTCTGTCTTACAGTGGAGCTGGAGCGGCGCATCGACTTCGAGCTCCGAGAGGGCCTGGTGGAGAGTCGCTACTGGTCGGCGGTGACCTCCCACACAGGTTACTGGTGCTCACACGACATAGCACTCTTCCTGTTGACCTTCATATACAAGCAGAAGTCGATAACCTCTGACCCAGAGGAAGATGCTCCGGATCCGGACTGAGGCAGCACATTCGTCACAACACATACCTGACACTTGAATGGTGTCTTATAACTCTGAGACGGACGTGTCACCTTCTTGACAAGACACAAAATAAACCTCATTTATTTTCATGCACACAAACTGCTCAGACACACTAACATCCTTTTTCCCTCCTACATCTCTCCATGATCCAGCTCTTTGAACTCTTGGGAATCATTGGTGACAAACTGACTTCATTCCAAGATGTGCATTTTGGTCTCTTTTTGTGTAGTTAGTACACAATCGCACACCCTAAGGGTGACAATGTTGGACAAGGAACCCCTAAGGTGGTGCACCTTTTGCCAGTATGACCGCAAGCTACAGTATAGACACGGAATAAGAGAGGAAGATCGTCCTAACGTCATCCCCAAGTCTTCAACCTCAAACAGCCTGTTGACAAAGTGTCCATACGTGTCCTGTTGATTGACGCTTAAACCCCGACTCCCTCCCACTGACTCATTTGGAGCCTTGTGACACACTTGCTTGACCCTTAGTCGCTGAGACTTCGAGTTCTGTGTCTGTTCTTTAAAAAAAAAAAAACAGTGAGGAAAATAATTGTGGAGGAAAAAAAGTAGTTTTGTCTTTAAAATGAATCTTTAGCTACATCTCAAAAACTTAATGCTAACAAGCAAATGCAATGCCTTTCAGATTTAGCCAAATAATATTACTCATGCAGAATATTTCTGTTTAGTTTTTTTCTGAACGAAAACGTAGGGCATTATCCCTTTAATAATGTGTTAAAAGAACGAAGAATGACATAACAAACGTCATATTTTTAGTTTGTTTTTCTTCCTCTTCTTTTTATGTTTGCCTCTTTTTTTTTTAACATAGTTTGACTCTCGAAATAGATATGCACCAAATAAACCACGAACAAAGCACCACTTTTATACACAGTCAACTAAAACAGAATCTCCGTTTGAGTAGCAGGCACAAAATGTCCCTGACTAACACACAACAGTTACAGCTGAACATCCTGCAGGACGTCATTAGCTCCCATGTGACATGTACTGTACATACAGAGGTTTACAACCACGTGAGGCTGTGTCATGTTAGCATCATTTAAGCTCTTAAACAAGGCTGGACATGTAAAGTTATTTTCTTACACACTGTTTATCTTTTCAAATCTCTCGATGATGTCATTTCCAAGTCGAGAGGTCTTTTCCATTCAAGCTAATGCTTCTATATCAAGGATGAGTTCTTGAGAGAATTTTCTGTGCTGTATCTTTATATTACTATCCAGATGAAATCAGTGGTACTAGATGTATTTTTTCTTAAAAGAAAGAATTATTTTTCCAAGTGATTTTCAGGCTCTTGTGGATATAAACCTGGATCTCATCTGTGGGAAAATGGGATTCAAACACGCGGCCAAACAACATTCACGTGTCTCGCTTATTAGCTGCTTGGCGTTAGTCATTCTGAGGCGTACTCCATGACAAAAAGAGTAATTGGTCTAGGGTAAAAATAGCGTCTTTTTATTTTGAGGCATCTGTGATTCACTGCACGCAGAGGTTAATTGTATGTCTTTTGCCTTTTCTTGTGACCATCTCACACCTTACTCATTTGAGCAACGGATATGTCAGCTTGTCTTTTTATCTGTATGAAAGAAGGGTTTGTTTAGTCTTAAAAAAAACATTGGATTTTAGTCCAAATTTTATTCCAATTTTATTTCAAAAAGGACAACCAGAGAGAGAAAATCCTGATTTTTATTTTCTAAACATGTCTGTTGCTGCTTCATGAATCTTGCCTTAGGATTGTCAGAGCAGTTATTAAAAAATCATGATGGATCGCACAAATGTGGTCCTTTTAAAAACACACCTGATAATGAAAATGTACTCACTTTGCATGGTGTTATTTATAGTAAATGGATGTTAGAGCAAGAAGACATCGCAGAGAGTGCCAACACACATCTAAGAAACTGCTTTGTGTTCCTTACTGAGCAGAAAACCGCTCATTATTGTTTATGGACTTCTAATGAAATCATTTCTAAGACATTTTGCAATGGATGAAGAAATGGAATCGCCCTCTGATTGGAATTAGTCACAAGTGACAGACTTGATTATCACCAGTGTCAAATTTTCCTCATCACAATATCATAGTCAACAAAGAGCTTATTTTTTAATTTGCTATGGTGCAAGCTGCTGCGTTATTGTTCCACACAATCAAGGGCTGTTGTCGACTGGTCCACCGTCGGATGGAATCCATTTTATTGGCATTTAATGTCTGAGTTATTTATGCAAAAGGCCTACTGACTGAAACCAGGCTGCCTCTCGGATGACCAGAGAAGAAGGGGAAGTGGTGTGGAAGCAGGGACAAATGTGGGAGTGTTTATATTTGATCCGGTGGATCTCGCCCATTCATCAGCTATGAATTGCACATAAATTATCTAGAAAACAGCCCGTTGTTGATGTTTATTTTCACTGAGCATGTGTGACATCACAGCGGTAGATACAGGAAGCAGTTGGCTTGCAATTTACTTGGGGACCTTAGACCTGTAAAGCAAAGGACAGATCCATTGTTGCCTCTCGTGCAGGTTCAGACAGCAGATATGTAAGAGTGGACGGACCATTATAACTATGACAACAATGTTCCTGCCAGTGTGTGTTTCCAAAATGAACTTTGCACATTTTCTGTTCTAGCAATTCAAGCACAGATTTCTAGCTGTGTTCACTGCTTGCAAACAAAGCAACTAAACTGCAGAGCATTAAAGAAAACCTTGTACTTTTGACCACATGAGCATTTAATGCACAGCGTTTTGAATGATGACAGTATATTTTTCTTGTTAAAAAGCACCACAAGCGTCAGGGAAACGTCTACTGTTCTATGTTTTGTCGATTTGACACCAGTTTGAAGCCATTATTAGGTAAAAAAAAAAAAATGAAATGTTCAGACGTACATGAGGAAGGGCCTGCAGCCATATGTAATCAGTCACTGAGTGAGCAAAAAGAAATAAGCATTAAAATTAATTGTGGGTGTTTTGAATGAAATGTGTTCAATTCGTGCTCTAACTCTGAATGGAAGTGTTTTCGTCTGTCCTTAGAGCTGTGCAATAACCCATGCCTGTAATGGATTCTAACTGCCATCCAAAGCACTGTATTTATTTCCTTTTATTAAAGCATTTTCTTTTTTTGGATACATTGACTTCTTCCTAATCCGTCACATCCCATGGGTAATGATAGGGGGGGGAAATATCAAAATTGGACTCTGTTTGCTGTCGCGTAGGAGGACGAGGAGGAAGATGGTCTCATTGCTCATTTCCAGACTGATTTTTGGAGGACAATAGAGCTATTTGTTCGTCTGCGACTCGGATCAGATTCTTTCCAAAGCGCCCCCCGCTGATGCGAATAACAAAGCTGACTTTGTTATTCACAAGCAGTCACGACTTCCATATGAGTTACTAGCTCTTTAATGCAGTTTTGCAACATCTGCAAAGGCAAGGGCTCACAGATGGGACCATTTAGAGCAAAAGTGATTGTCAGAAATGATGCATCTGGTGCTGCTGTTCTCTGTTTGGCCACAAGAGGTCAGTCATCTATTGGTAATACTGGAACAAAGAGTCCTATTGACCATCTGTTGTGCAGTCAGTGCCCTTTCTCACTTCCTGTTTCCATTTATTGACCTTTAATTGAGCTATTTTTACACTTAATGGTCTCATTTATGATTATATGGCTTTATCACTTATGTTTTAAGCTTGCTAAGATAAAATACTGAATTGGCATAAAATATATAAGAAGTTTTACCCACTTAAATATCACCAGAAAAACTGATTGCTTTGTTCCAAAGATGACCCCTGCAGACAGTGTTGTACTCCTCCTCCCTCCTTATCTACATCAGCAGCAGCAGCAGCCAAGCCAGCTCTCCTCTCCATCCGAATCTCCTGCTCTGCATCTGACTCAAATGTTTACTCTGCAATTAAAACACAGCCTATAAAAGGCAATGGGTCGGGTGCCAGACACTGACGACGGGGTCAGAACTGCAGGGGGAGAGAGAGAGGTTATAAATCGCTTTGATGCCGACCGTCGTCTGAAGGCCCAGATTCCTGAGCTGGAGGATTGGAGCTGAGCGAGTTCACCGGGGTGCGGAGCCAGAAACAGTGATGATTCATGGGTCTTTACTGCGGACCACTTGGAGAGTGTGGGCTGGAGTGTGTATTGTGCTGCTGCTTCGGAAAGAAAGGAGACGGCAACCTTTCTCTACCCCCCCCCCCCCCCCCCCCCCCCCCCCCCCCCCCCCCAGCTGATCATTTGTTTGAATGCGCTCATAAAAGGCCATTACTCATCTACAGCAACCTGCAGATGATATTATCTCCAGTGGGGATGAAGAAATTTATGATCTTCTTACAGTGATGACATCATACTTTTGTATTCTTTTACAATAATCCCTAAAACAAATCGAAATTTGGTGCATAAGGAGAAGAAACATGAAGTTAGCTTGCATGAGATTATATTCTCATAGTGACACGGCTATATTCGGAGACTGCTGCAGACGGGTTTGGATGTCTGTCGTCTCTTGAGTTTCTGATACACTATAATGTTGTTGTGTGAGAGCTGATTATAGTTTGCACACGCAGAAGGAGTTTCATATGTGAAATCGTGACGTTTGAACTGAGGATATTTATGTATTTTCTGCAGTAAAAAAGAATTTGGAAACACTGGTACTTCACTTTCCATCTCATCATTTCATGAGAAGTCATATTTGTATTCCTTTACGTTATATTAAATGCAAATACTGTGATTTTATTACTTGTCTGCAGCTGTGCATACCCTATAGGGTGTTCAAATTTGCATTTTCTTTCAATTTAAATTATATTTACATATATTTTAGCTGAGAACAAGGTGTCCCAACTGTCCCAGTGGGGCAAAATTTTGGGAAAATGCACTCACTCCTTGTACTTTTTGCAAAATTGTGCCTTTCACATTTGGATTAGGCTCTAAAATACTTGATAACCTGTTAGCTGACACCTGTATCTGTCCAAGGATCACATTATTTTCATTACTGTTCAAGTAGTCTGTGAGTTATGTCAGGTTATTTCACGTTGACACAAATATGTCCCAACTGACCCCGCTCTCCCCTATTTATCAGGCTCCAAAATAAGATTTTTATTGTAGATAAAGTGATTAAATAATATGCATTTCTTCTTTACTGTTAAACCCCCTCAGAGTAATGTTGACATACCTCCACCTGGAGCAGCTACAACATTAAAGCAGCTCCTTGAATATATGTGATGTGTCAGGAATGAAAGCAGATATCTGTATACTTTGGCTAATTTCTACGTTTCACAGTCTTCCAGTCAGGCTTTTAAGGTAATTAGTCCACACTGGAAAGAAAAATGGAGACGCAGTTAATGAAATTGTAAAATTGACAAACCCAAACTGCCTTGTTATTTTGTGCTGTTCCTCCCGGGGCTAAAGACCCAGAGGTCCCTGGATGCTGCTGCTGCTGCTGCTGCTGCTGCAAGGCTCGGCAGCACTATTGCCATAAAAGGCAGCTTGAGATCTTCACTGCGTGTCCATTATCCACATAGCGCTGAATTTTCGACTGTGGAGGGCTGCAGTTTGACAAAAGCTGAAATAAAACACACACACAAACCCGAGCCTGACCTTTTTTGTTCACGTATATGTACCGTATTTATCAAGCTTAGCGTGACATTGAAGCTAGAACTCACATTAATGCCTGATTTTGGATATAGTTCTTAAAAGTTTGCCATTATTATATGTCAAGTACAGTTTCTATTACTTGTCTGCTCTTGTATCCACTTGTTAAGCTCCATAATAAGATTTAACATTCAAGTAAATGATGAAAAATTATGGATTTCTGTAGTAACCTTCAACAGTATGTGAAGTAGGGGAGACCGGGGTTGGTTGGCACACTTTTATGTTGGAATATTCTGACCAGCAGCAAATTGAAAGTTAAGTTCTCAGTTAATAAATGTGTTTTAATGGACATAAATGTTTCTAAAATTAGCTGATTCATGAATATAGCAACCAATAGAAATAATTTGAACATCGAATTTAAAAAAAAGAACCAGAAAACATGAAACATGAAACAATTTATCACGTCACGCTGCAGCCACTCAACAAACGACCACACAAAGTTATTACTACTTCTCCTGAAAGATCTGTACCTCTTCCATCTCTGTGTTAGCTTAAAATCATGCGTAGACAGCCCCTAACTGAACTTTATTTCTCACCTGAAGAGCCGATCCCCAGAGCTATGACTCGCTAAGCAATATTTTTTTGGCCAGTGTCTTTATAGTGATGAGATTGTGGGTTGTTTAGCTTTGGATAACCCACAGCCACCCACAATTCCCACTTACAACCGTCCCCATTTTGGTACTAAAAGGTGGAGCTGTGAACACTGCAGTCTGTTGATTGGTCAATAGAGGACGGTCACTCTGCTCAGGGCTGAGTTGTGGCTGGTTTTGAGGCTCATGTAACCACTGTTCATACCGTGGAGAGTTTTATTAGTGAACTGTAACTATAAAAGGAAAGGATGTTTTGCTGCCGGCAATTTTTAAGGTGGAAAGTTAACTTGTATTGTTACTCAATGCATGAGTTGATGACATGAATCCACCAGCACACCTTAAATTTCACTGTGACAACTTTGACCATTACTTTAGTTTTTATATGACATACACTTTTAGTAATGAGTGGACCTTCAAGCGTATATCTTAATTTCGGCCGGATTATGTGAGCTGCATATATTCTAATCCTCACTTGGAGAAAAAAAAGTGTCGTGGAGTGTAGTTCCTGTGGGCTCCAGCAACACTAAACCCCTGAGCTTGTCTGAGAAGGACTAAATGCACAAACCCACCATTTTTATATATCCCATGGAGAGAGACTCTCAGTAGCCATGTTTCCATCAGCCTGTTTAGATGCGCATCTAGAAGTATCGCATCGGAAAATTATGATGGAAACACCAAAATTAAAATTAAAATCCCCTGATTCAAACAAACAAAAATACGCTAACTTTAGCAGGGATTTGGTTGATTAGAAAAAATGTTGATTCGCAAAACGGGGGATGGAAACAGTTATATTCGAATTAAGTCTGACATAGCGCACCTCTCCATGGTGATATCCACACTCCGGGTCGGGAAGGCAGTAACACATTTACAAGCTGGTTGCCAACCGCCAGAAAACGTAGAAGAAGAATGCGAGACTTGTTTTGTTTCCGGTTCTGCGGAAAACTCACGCGACTTCGTGGTTTTCACCAAAGTCTGTACATTTAATGGAAACACACAGGATTCGTATTTCATTTAATGCGCATTTCCCAATGATTCGAATCACTTTTGGATGGAAACATAGCTACTGCAGCCTGTTTTATTTTGTTCTGAAACTGTCGGCATGTAACCTCGTTCTGTAGACGATACTTGAATAAATGAGGCGCAGACTGGACGGAGCTGTGAGTGACAACAACCCCGCCGACATTTAAGGGTACTGCAGTGGAAACGCTAGGGTCTAGGTACCATGTCTGAAGGGTACTGTTGGTTCCAAAGGTACCATACTGAAAGTGTTTAGTGGAAATGGGGCTACTCATTTGATAGAATTTGTTCTTTTGGATCCTTAACATTTCTATTTAATATTTTTGTTTCTATGACCTTAAAAGGACCAGAAAATAGCTGCGTGCCAACCAACCCGGTCTCCCCTATTTAGAGAGGTATTTAGAGGTCAAATAATGATAATAAAAAAGCATGACTTGTATTTTTACCAAGTGGTGACCAAATAAAGGTCAGAAAGGGAGAAGTAACCCCCAATCCCCTCTCCAACCCCCTGACTGTGTGTGTGTGTGTGAGTGTGTGAGGTGACGGGGGGCCAGTGGGCGACCAGCACAGCTCCCAGTCTGAAAGGAAAAGTGGGACTGGAGCAGTGACGTTATCCGCTGCTGGAAAGAGGGAGGGAGAAAGAGAGGGACGGCTGGACTCCATTAAGCCGAAGCCTGCTGGAAAACTGTTTGGGATACTTCACTTCTTCTGCGACTTCTTCAGGGATTTCTTTCTGCTTTTATTGTCTGAAAAACTCTTCATACATGATTTAAAGAGGGGGAAGTTGCTCTGCACCGTGTAGTCGACTGTTTTAGTGGGGTTTATTTCGTCTTTGTGAAGGTGAGTAGATTTAAATGTTCGTCCTCAAAGCT